TGCCTCAAAATCATGATTTCTGTTCGGTGCATGTGTAACTAACATTAACATTGTGTACATGATGGAGAAAACTAGACCTTAAAGTGAAGCATGCAAACACAATCTTTGCTTGTTTATACGGATATTTAGGAATAGCTATAAGTGACCTTTTCCAAATTAGTTTTGGAAGTGGATTAAGCTAAACCAGAAAAGGAACTTTATTCCAGAATATGTAGTTATTCTGGAATAGCTCTTTTGCTTTAAATTGACACTTACGTATTCCAGAATAACTTTCATGTGTAGACCAGCCCTATGGAATGAAGATCTTGGGGTAGGGTACTTCAGTCTGCTCCTTTTAGCATATCTTGCTTTTGAAACTATTGAAAGTATTTCAATCATCTTTGTCCTGCCAAACAATACCTGATGTGATCAGTTCAGCTTGCATATGTTTAGCTATTTTTAGTTTCTTGATCTTTTAAATGCTCAATAGCTAAATGTTAGTCTTACACTCTAGTGCATCAGTAACAACAGTGATAATATCTAGCTCATAGACTTTAAGGTCAGAAGGAACCATCGTGCTTATCTAGTCTGGCCTCCTGCACATTGCAGGCCATAGAACCTCAGCCACCCACTCCTGAAATAGACCCCTAATCTCTGGCTGAGTTACTGAAATCCTCAAATCGTGGTTTAAAGACTTCAAGTTACAGTGAATTCACCATTTATACTCATTTAAACCTGCAAGTGACCCGTGCTCCATGCTACAGAGGAAGGGGAAACTCCTCAGAGTCTCTGCCATTCTGACCCGTGGGAAAATTCCTTCCCGATCCCAAATATGGTGATCAGTTAGACCCTTAGCATGTGGGCAAGATCCACTAGGAAGATACCTGAGAGAGAATTCTCTGTAGTAACTTGGAGCTCTCCCCATCTAGTGTCCCGTCTCTGGCTGTTGGGGATTTTTGCTACTCTCAGTCACCAATGGGCCACATGCCATTGTAGGCAGTCCCATCATACCATTCCTCCATACAGTGCTTTTCATCAGTGATCTCAAAGCAGTTTACAAAGAAGGAAAATATGACTCCTGTTCTACAGATGGGGGAACTGAGGCACAGAGATTGCTCTTCATCATCCGCAATCCTCACTGACGTGTGTAGGAACCTTCTTCATGAACTATAAGTCCCTCTTAGTATGCAAAAATACATTTGTGTATTGGTTCGTGCATGTTTCTAGCTTAGTGTAGTGATTGGTTTTGGTTCTTTTTTACAGATGTTAAGGGTAATCTATGTGAGGACCACTGTATATTGCAGCATTCTAATAGGTAAGTAAAATCTGGTTAAGTCCTTAGGATATTTGTTTTGCACTATTAGTTTGAAAACACAAATCTTTAATAGAGAGCTAATGTTTTCAACACTGAAAGGACATTTGGGTTTTCTCTATTTCAGAGCAAGCACCACAGTTCTTTGATAGCCTCTTTATTAATGCTTTAGTTACCCTAAGTACATAGCTAAGTAAATTAGACACAAGTGTTAGGTTTTAATATTGGAAAACCTAATATGAATGAGTATTTTTGAATTTTTTTCCACAAGCCTTTTTATTGAAACATTTCCATTTGATGGTATAAATTTGCAGTATATATTTTGCTAGTGTATGATAACCTAAAACTGAAATTCATCAGTCTAGTGAAATGCAAATTATTAAATCAGTTGTTAATTTTAATTTCTGATGGTTGTAATATGTAAATGTAAAGTATCTTGTCTTATTTAAAAAAATTCCAAAATAGTATAGTATCAGAAGATATGATGGTTTTTATATTTGGTGGTCATAATATACCTACCCTGATGCCAGTTGATAGCAATTGGGCCAAAAATGTTTAAGGAATTATTTTGTAATACAAGTCTCATTTTAAAATTTTTGAGTCGTTGCTGAGTACGTCTCCTATAAGTTGCAAATATGAACAAATGACCTCCCATTTTTAAAATGCAGTTTTACCATGAAAATCATTGGGTAAGAATGGCGTCAGGGTACTCAACAGCTCTCTTTTTGTGTATTTGGAATTGCATCTGCTTAAATTAGTTTCTAAGTTTGTACTTCTGTTAGTCCTGTAGTCAGCACAACTCTAAGTGTAAGCTGAATTCAATTCCTTCTACATTCTCAACAGAACTGAGTACAAAATTATAGTTGTTAACCCATAGGGCTACTCTTTGCCTGCAGAACCTCTACTACTAGTGATTTATGCATGAGAAGGCAGAACATAACTTGACTTATAGAGCCCAGGCAAGGTTTGCAGGGTGGGTAGCTGTAAAATTATTGTAACTTGTAAAAGTTTTAATAAAATATGTATAAAAATCACTAAGATGACATTGGAAAGTGACATCATGGGGCTCAACGTGGCCAGCTTTTTAAAGGAAACCTACTGACTTTAGCTTAAATCAAAGAGAAAATTTTAAAGCAGATTTAAAAAGATTGGAATATATTTCAAAACTTTGATTAATGTGAATTGAGAAGCTGTGTAATCTCTTGAGGTTACAGTTGTAGTAATCACAATAAAGAAGGCATCTGGATGGTCCCTATCAGGACATGAAGATCAGTATTACGGGAAGACACGCAGGGAACACTTAGTTTTTAGAAGCAGTCTGTGCTCTTCTATTTTGATTGACTCTCTGGATCTGAGAAAAAGTGTAAGTATTAAGTAGTTGTACTAAATGAGAAAAAAAATTAGACCTTCCAGGGTGGGAGGATATTGGACTTGGGTCCTATTTTGTTTCTTCCAAGTATAAAAAATGCCCAACTTTGTTCAAAAAGGCTGTTTGGGTTTTTTCTGCTTCTTTTCAAACATTAGAGCACCAGGTCATGTCTACCCTGGAAAATTTTATAGTTACTTGAACTTGTAAAATTGACATTACAAAGGACATGGTTGGAAAATACCAAGCACATCTTGGGCACAGCCACAATCTAAATGGTTAATAAGTCACTGCAAGCTGAGTAATTGAGGGCAAGAGATTCAACTTTGTTTTGTTTAATACATGTTACATCAATAAACATTTGGAAGAAAAAGATGCATCTTGTTGATTTCTCCCCCAGTTAAGGTGTGGGAGCTGACAATAGACATTTCTGAAGTCTTCCAGCAAAATAGGGAAGAATAGACTTAATGTTCCTGAGCTTTCTTGGGTACAAATCAATAACTTTAGAAAATACACAGCAGAAAACCTCATTTCAGTCTTGTTTCTTACAACATAAAGAAGCAAAGAGGACATGCATCCTCTTTTAAAATCCTTCACCGGTCACACTGAACAGCTGTTGAAGACTCCTGCTGTTCCTTTGTCTGCTTGCAACTCTGATCTTCTGGTCCTGCTAGAAATTATAAGGCTGATAATAAAGTAGAAAACAGTCATATTAGTTCATACTCAGCTTTGTACAGAGTACATTAACAATCTAGTGATTCAGCTAATCTTTTAAAATCAGATTAGGAGCTATTTATTCCTACTTCTAAAACTCTTTGGTATTTGGGGCTTCCTCCAAAGTGGAGAACCTCTTCCTCTCCCAGACCCTGAACAAGGGGATGGGGAGCTCCAGGACTGAAACATTGGGTTTCACGCAATCCCTTTCTTCAGTCACTATCCCCATGAATGGGGCTGAGGAGTAACAGATGTCCATGAAGACTGGGGGAGCCCTTTTCTCTCTGACGCAGGGAGTTCACAGAGAGAGGCCTCCAGATCCCTATAGGAAGCAGGGATTAGTGGGGTGGGGTCAGGAGGAGGAAAGGAGTGGGGAGTTCTTTACTTGCAGGGACTCCTCTGCAGTTCCTAGAGAGGAGTTATGCTGCTGCTGAAGAGCAGGCAGACATGTATGTGCATAGAGAGGGGAGCCCATTTTGCTATTCTTGGGCCCACCCAGTCTCTCCTCCTTAAATAACTTTTTAAAATAAACTTCAGAGAAAGAACACTAGGCATGCTATTAAAGGGCCTTCTATCCAACTTGGCTACTTAGCTTAACATTCAAGATGAAAGTGTTGCTTTAATGACATTAAGTGGAAAAAATAATTTGGCTCTTCTTGCATTTGTTATAAACACTAAAAATAAACTGAAATGGGAAATTAGTCACTTGTAACATTTTAAATTGTCAGCATCTTTTGCATTCAATGCCTTATTATTTTGTACCCTTTTAGATGAGTATAATATTAATAAGGTTTGCTCTAATAAGACTAGCCCCATGAAAATATCAGTGCCCCCTCCCCCCCCCGGCCCTACTCCCAAAGCCAGGTCTAAATGCTGTGGCCTAGTATGGAGGCCTAAGTGTCCATGACCACTCCTAGCTACTGAGAGGGAGGTAGAACTTGTTCTCTTTTTCTTCTTCTGCAGAAGGGCCAATGCCATTCTGTGTTTTCCCTCTTATCCCTTCCTGTCTTCTCCAGATGGGATGTAGACTTTTTCCTGTTCTTAATGGTATACACACTGCATCTCAAGCAGGAGCAAAGTAGTAGTGGGTAGTTAGAGCTGCTCCTCTTCTGAAGGGTTTCCAGCAACAGAGGATGACATTTAAGCCTCTAGTGTTCCTGAATGTAGCTGGCCTCAGCGCGAATGCCAGTCACTAATAGGAAAAGACTCGTGCCAGGGCTTAAACTCTGGGGCCTTTTGCATAACCCCGGGTGATAATGGACCAATAAAAGAAGTGGCGGGGGAGGGACCCTTCTAAATAAAGTAAACTGAAAAAGCTAAGACTAAAATAAGGCAGGAAACTGAGAATCAACAGACATGCAACTGCTCTGTTTCAAGCCATAGGCAGATAGAACCCTTTCATCTTACGTAAAACACTCCTATATGCTGGGTGTAAATATCTGCCAAAGAACCTTTCCTATTGACTGAGGACTATTTTTACTCCTGGGGGAATTCTGTGCACAATATTTTAAATTTCTGGAAAATTCTGTATGTTTTGTCAAAATAACACCATATAATCACACCATTTTCAATTATTTTGGTAATTTATTTCAAATACCTGTCAGTAAGTATGTCTGTAACAATAGAGACAACAAAACCCAGTTCCCCCAGGAGTAGAGAGTTAAAGAAGCCCCTACGACAATCCAGTTCCTGTTTCTCTGTTGTGCTTTTGTTGGGTGCCTCAGTTTGGGTGTTTTCACATGTGCCACCTGGGCATATCTTAGGGGGGAAACTCTGCCCCTCTGGTCTCAGACACACACACACCCTCCCCTCCCAGAGACCAGCTGCAGGACACTCCCTGGCCCACACACCTGCATCCACTGCCCCCAGAGCTCAGCTGCAGGGTGCCCAGATACCTACACACCCTACCCCAAGCCCAGCTGCAGGGCACGCCCCGGCCCAGACACCCACACCCTCTACCCCCCAGAGCCCAGCCATGGGATGCCCTCAGGTCAGACACCCACACCTTCTACCCCCCAGAGCCCAGCCATGGGATGCCCTCAGTCCAGACACCCGCACCCACAGAGCCCAGCTGCAGGGTGCCCCCAAGACCAGACACCTACCCCCCAGAGCCCAGCTGTGGGGCAGGCCCAAGCCCAGACACCCACAGCCCCTACCACACAGAGCCTAAGAATCCAAGGGATAAACCATCCTGATGCTGAGTCTTGGGCTTGTATGGTGTTTCCTACATGGTGTCTTCTTCCTTCAGGATGTGCCAGGAACCACAGCTGTCCCCTCCCCCAGCAGTGTCCTGTATTTGTGAGCAGGAGAGCTGGGCTCTTCTGGGTTCAATGGCCCCTAGTGGCAGCCAGCAGCTCTGCAGCACCAATTCTATGGGGAAAAATGAAATTCTGTGCAAAACATTAATTCTGCGCAAGTTATGCAGTGGCACAGAATTCCCCTGAGAGTGTACTTTAGCCTTGCTTATTGATCTATCTTGCCACAGGCAGACTTTTGGGAAAATGATTATTTTCCAGATACTATTTGAGAAGCTGGATCTCCCTTAGGCCTCAAAGATTTTTGACCCTTTGAAATACTAGCAGGCTGGCCTCATTCTGAGACCAGATGCAAGGGTTGGGTACCCAAGAACATTGTTTCGCCTAATTTCTGATGGCAGTCAGGTAAGGTGCTCCTACTGGAACTGCAGCTGCTCAGGCTGGTTCCAGACCCTGCGGCTTTGGCAGTACTTCTGTATTCTTTTCCTGGTTTCCCTAGTTCTGTGGTGCACTGAGGTAGCTCCCTGCAACACTGCCTTTTTCAGACCCTTCTAGCTGCGTAGCTGAAGTTGTTTTTGAGTTGTCAGAGTCTCTTTCTGATGAGGAGGGAGGGTGTTTTAAACACTAGGGTTCAAGTGTCAGTGACCCTGGTGTGGGTTGTCTTTGAC